TCCTCACGTTGAAACATCGGTTCTCGTACGATCACCAAAGTTAAGCAACGTAAAGCCTGATCAGTACCTAGACGGGTGACCGCTTGGGAATGTCATGTAAGACAACCGTTATCTTCCCCCACATATCCCCATAAACTATGCATCTTACGCCGTAAGCCTCTATCCCGAGTAGCTCTTGGGTGAAAATCGTTATAAAAGAAAACTTGAATGAGTAAATTGCTATAATGGACGACGTCTCGGAATTCGAAATTGTAGGGACGATTTCAAATTTCTGCCAAATTCACATACGCATAAATACTCTTGGGAAATATATACATCCACCTCTTCCTCAAAATATGGGTTAATTAGTGGTAGTTTAGAAGAATTGCTGCCTAAATATACAACTATCATATATATATATATATGTGTGTGTGTGTGTGTGTGTGTGTGTGTGCAGGTATGTAGAAAAATAAGAAAGAACACGTTAGGTAAATAATCCAGGGTTCTTTAGTATTTTTTTTTATTTTTAAAAAACAGTGCTCCATACAGAAGTAGAGCTTAAATTATAATTATTTTTTAAAATATATTTTTTCGAAATAAGTTTCTCATGTTAATAAAATGGAAAGTCGAAACCATCAATATAATTATTATTTAAAGAAAATTAAAGTAATAATCTGTTTTCATCCTCAAGGGAATCAACACAAATTGAGGTTGAAACAGGGCTTGATACTTTAATTCAATTTAATTTTAATAATTTTATTGATGGTTTCGGCTATTGTTTTAGAAACATGAGAACTCTTATGCAGCGAAGGAATTATATTTTTAAAAATAATTATAACATATATATATATATATATATATATATATATATATATATATATATATATTGAGAGTTTCACCATTTATATATTTTATATCATTAACTTTAATAATTTATTTTTTGTATGAATGATTAATTGTAATAAAATTGAACTGCACCGCATATTTGATTTAAAAGAACTGATCCAACGTGCAAATTTTCGGGATAACAACTGAGACATTACTCTACTTATTGAACAATTTAGTTCATGCCACGTTGACTGATAAACTCCTACAACAAAAAATTCTTAAATTGCCATATTAGTAAAACACGCACTCTCTTAAATTTTCAATAATCCAACCTTAGCGTTGCGACTGCACGCTCCACAAGTTTGCATCCGTTATCAATAAAACATAAAAAAAAAAAAACATTTCGATTTGCATTATATTTTTTCGTCTCGGATGCTACCTGAATTTTACCAAAAACAAAATAATTTCCATCCCTGAAGATGACTGAATGTATAGTCGAAAGTACTTGCGCCTTAAAGAAAGATCTTATACATCTTATGATTTTAAAAACAAGGATCATAACATTCATCGAGTGATTTATAGGTTAATGCATCTTTTAAAATTTTGTTAGTGAAGGGATTTCGCCATTTTATATCATTAACTTTACTAATTTACTTTTTTGTATGAATGATTCATTGTAATATATATATATATTTATATATGATATTATATATTTTTAAAAAAATATATTCCTTTACTATAAAAGTTCTCATATTTCAAAAAACAAGAGCTAAAAGCTCAATATAATTATTGAAATTAAATTGAATTAAAGTATCAAACCCCTGTTTCATCCTCAAGCAAAAATTTAGGAATCTAAATTTTCTTAAATTTTCTAAATAAGTTTCCTTTTTTTTAGCTTGAGGATGAAACAGAGCTGATGATACTTTAATTCAATTTAATTTTAATAATTAAATTGAGGTTTTTGGCTTCGTTTTGAAACATGAGAACTTTTTAAATAATACGAAAAATCATATTTTTTTTAAATAATTATAATTTAAGCTCTACTATCTGTATGGAGCATTGTTGTTTTTTTTAAAAAACAAAAATACTAAAGAAGAACCGGATTAATTACCTAAAATGTGTTTTTTCCCATTTTTCTATATATTTACATACACACACACACACACACACACACACATATATATATATATATATATATATATATATATATATATATATATATATATATATATTAATTATATGGAAGAGCAGTAATTCTTTTATATATGTTAGAAAAACTGACGAACTAGGATAATTTTTACTAGCTTTCTATTCAATTTTTCTAGTTTTTTTAATTTTATTGGGGCTAAAATGTTTCGGCTTACGGTCAGATTACTCTGAAACGCCAGATCTCGTTAGACCACCGGGGTTAATTAGCGTCTAGTCCGATCTGTAGTTAGTCATGAGACAGCTTGGGAACACTGTCTACTGTAAGTGAAATCTAGTTATAAAACCTGTTGGGAATGGGACTATCAACTTCATCCCGGAAAAAAACCTTACTTGCTACGGAAACCACACCAGTAACACCTTGCGCTGTTGAAAGCTGTGAGTCCCATACTTTATAGTGGAGTCTACGTGAATAAAGGAGAAAAAGCATGTAGTAACTGTCCGTTGAGATTATTGTCCCAAGCGCTTTCGGCTTAGCCATTTTCAAAGGGTTTGTGGTTAGTATATTTTTCTGTTTCTATTCAAGGCTGTATTGTATAGCAGCAGTTCCATGTATGAGAGCCTTTACTGCCAATATGTTGATAATAGTATTAGTACAGTTTATAAGCCAGCCATAATTTACCGGCTATATACAGGGTGACCCCAAAAAACGGGAATTTTTGAAGTGCGTATTGCCAGACATGTGTAAGTGGCAACACTGCGAGACAGTAACCTTGAGCAAGTAAACATTTCGCTATTTAGAATCCAAGATGAAATTTACAGTATCCCACCGGAGATGTTGCAGCAGTCAACGAGGAATCTCAATAGCAGATTTCAAGAATGCATTCGTACAGGAGGACGCCATCTACAGGACGTAAATTTTTAAAAAGGAAAATTTCATCATTGTTTTTTAAATGGCATGTTTTAAGGTTTCAATTACTATGAATAAAATATTTTTCTTCCATCATTCTTGGTTTTACTGGATTGTTAAAAAGTTCCCATTCTTTTGGGTCACCCTATAATAGTGCTAGGAAGAGTAATGTATTCCTGTACACCAATTATTGATATTAGCATTAGTGTAGTCATTGATATACTAATACTGAATGTAAGTATAGAAAGACAAGATACACGCTCGTGATAAACAAAACATTTAATAAGACAAATACAACTTAAATACTCATATTAAAATGGTTTCCACGTGTCTCAAAACAAATGATTGTTTACACAGTTCAAATGGCGGGAATGTTTGACAGAAGAAACGAACAAAGAAATAAACACACCAGCCTTCTGTTCTTTGACTGTCCTTAGCAAGGTGAATCAAAATGACTTTTCCCTTTACGTTAGGCTGTGAACGTGTTGTCCATTTTCCACGTGGGTGCACGCCGCGATCGTTAAACCTTTCCCCCAAACGGAAGCAAAAAAGATAAGAAGAATTCTTCTCTCTAAAGGGGCTGAACTCCCACGTGATCAGCCTAAGGAAAAACAACTGCTGTCTCCCTACACGAGTTTCAAAGCAACTGATGTTGAGTGTAAGTTTATAGTATTTTATTAGAAGTGCTTCCGTTATCTTTAAACGTCTTTTACAATTAGATTTTTTTTTCAATAAATGAGATGAGTATCCTATTGAATGGTGAATGTATCAGACAATTTGTAAAATGTTTACTTTGATATATTTTGCCGGCAATCCTTCATGTTATATATCGTCTCTATGAATACTAATGAGTATGTCCCAATTCTCATAAATACGTTTACTACGTTACAACAAATTGATGTTATAAAGATTCCCCTTTCATTTCCAACCTCCGTTTATTCTTCATTCAGTAACCCTTTCTAGGTTACAATACTTCATATAAGCCACGTAAAACAATCTTTCAAAGTTCCGCTTCCCTGGAACAGCGTAAAATAAACCGCTTCCTTTCAGCCATGTTACGTGGTAGATCAAGTGAGCCACTTTCAGTCGCTGATCCAAATGAATTATTCTGACGAGAAGATATTTTGCAAGAAGATTGGTGCTTATTAGAGCTCGCTAATCATCTTAGGAAGCCTAAAACTGTCCTGCATTGGTTGACACAACGACGGCTCATTCAAAACAAGGATCCTTTCTGTTAATTCAGTGCAGTTAAAGTAAAATTACTTATCGCAGATATTAATTCACCCTAAGAAATTATGAATTTTAAATCAAAGTTTGTTGGATTTTTTTTTTTATTAAATTTTTGGAAAGATAGATGAGAATTGTTTCTCCTGTCTAAGGAACAATGTTGGATGCCAACTGAAAAAAACAATTGGTATTTGGAATCATGTCATGAAACAAAATAATGTTTCATGTACTGTGTGTCAGAACAACCTCAACATTACTGGACACAATCCAAAGCTGTATTTTACCTGGTACTATGATTATGTCGGATTATTGGAAAGGATAGACATCTTTGAAGGATTATCCCAATTATATTCATTTGACTGTAAATCCCAGTATGCATGCCGTTGATCCAGAAACATCAGCTCATACGCAAACAATCAAAAGTATCTTGGCAGAACGCCAAAATGAAGAATAAGTCCATGTTTGGAACACATCGCTGCATGATAGACTCTTATTTATTTGTGTGAATCCCTTTCAAAATGGAAGATAAAAAGTAACAATGAATGCATTTTTGAACAAATTTTGTAGGACATTTGTGAATTTTAGTGCGAATTTTAGTAAATATAAATTCTTTTTATTTTGGGGTCGAATTAATATTTTGTGGTGAATTCACAGAAAAAATCCCAGATATTTTACAGTCAGTGGCTTTTCTCACTATTTTTAAATAGCTTTGTACGCAAAAGAATCAAGACCATTTATTTACTACTAGCAGTAGAGCCCGGCTTTGCTCGGAAATGTAACAGTAAGAGCTAGATCAAGTATCGACCATCATAAAGACTGAAAAATAAAATTGACAAAGATTATTGTTTAAGGTTGACGGACACGCATGTCTCAATTAGTTTTTTTTTTTTTGTTTTGTTTTTGTTTTTACGAATTGGTCAAACTTAAAACTCAAAAAAAATATTGTTTTCAATCGTTATGAGTCTACCGATTGAATAGAATTTTATTATAAACAATTGTCTTGTAAA